GTGCTATAATCACAGCCTTGTCTGCAATGGTCATTCCAGACATCTTTGGATATGAGGACAACATAATTTTTCACCAGCACGAAGTGAACTGATGCGGTAGGGGTTTTGTACCTGTTCCTGAAAAATAGGTTGTTTTTATAAGAGTTATCTGGGAAAACAGCTTCAGCTCGAGTAGGCATGAGTCAATGCTGTTTGGTGTAAATGGGAAGATCAATAGGGGAAGATTGGTGGCTTCGGCTGTGAACAAACAGAAATTGGGAGAAGTAAGGTGGGCTGGTTCCTGCAGCTGGGCAGGTTTGGGAAGTTGAAAAGAGAAAGGAAATATGCAAACCACAGCTAAAAATATAATTTGGTGTTCACAGAGCCTTTGAGTTGGTTTAATGAAGCAGAGGTGGAAAACTACATGGCTGGCTCGCTGGGAAGATGTCACACCCACAGACCCAGCACAAGACCCCTGGGTAGGGCAACCACGCCCAGCTCCCTCCCGGTGCCCTGTGACCTCTCCAGAATCCGGGGCATTCCAAAGAGCTGGTGTCCCCAGGACACCACCACAGTCTAGGCTACCAGAAAACCAGGTTGGCTTCTCTGGTCCTGGTTGCTTTACTGGGAGGTGAAGGGTGCAGAGGGGTATACTCTCCCCTGCAGAAACTCCCCAGCCCACGAGCCATGGCAGGAGGAGATGTCGGAGGCACTGTCTGAGCGGGATGCAAGTGGCATCTTCATTTCATTTTCCGATAACTGTAAGGGTTTGCAATTACATCTGCTGATCTGATAGTCATTAGGGAATGATCAGCCAGTCATTGGCAGGGGCTGTTTGCCTTTCTGCTAATTAAATTGCATTTGACTTGCAATCAAATCTAATGAGTCAAGTGAGCTTGAGGTAGGCTTAAGTGAAGCACAGGCCAGCTCCACAGCCTTGCTGTGCACGGAGAGCCACATCCTGGGAACTAGGCTGTGGAACAAGTGGATGAGGGGCATGCCTGTAGGTGGGCAGCACCATGTTTGTGGTAGAGGCAGGACTCCTGCCATGCTGCCTGCAGGCGAGCTGTGAGGCTGTGTACTTTGACACACGTGCCGGGCACCCTGTTGCTCATCTGGCTGCTGGGCTGCGAGAGGGACAGCAAGGACACCCACGACTGCTGGTCATGGGAGAGGGGCAGAGAGCAGAGCAGGCAGAGACCCCAGCATGGGGCTGACTCCTCCATCTTAAATCTCTTCTAACCTCAAGCACTCACCCCACACAGCTGTTGGGGACACTGGTGACTCAGCGCCTGCACAGCTTAACAAGATGCTTCCTCTCTTCATGACGGGTGTGTTCAGCAGCACCAGTGGCTTGGGAAACCAGGGTGATTTCAATGTACTCCTGGGTGTTTTTTGAAAGGGGAAAGGTTCTTCTGGGCTCACACCCACCAGATCCCAAGGCCAGTGGCACTTGGAGAACCCCATGGTCTCACTCTGCAGCATCCAATGCAGATGGACAACACCTGATGTGTGTACATCATGGGAGTGACTCCTGCTGTGGTGACCATTCCACCAGCTGGTGACAGTGGTGCTGGCAGCCATCACATGCAAAGGAACGTCCAGGAGGCTCTAACACGTGGCTGCTTCAGGCGGGTTGGTTGGGCACTCATGGGCTCAGGTTTTTTTTGGGATGGCTAGGAGCCCACAGGTCCTGAGCAGCAAGTGGGACCTGGTTCAGGGGCTGAAATCAAAGCATCATTCTCATGCCAACCACTGCTACTCTTAGAACTAGAGATGATCCCACACAGTCACATTTCATCTTTAAAAGAGGAAAAAATGAAAAGTTGAGAGGATTAACTATCACATATGGCACAGAGATTGTCTGGAAAGATCAGCTTAGCTTCCCTCTGAGCACTTAAGCTGATATTAGCAAATACAAACCCTAAAGAACATTGGGAAATCTAAATGGAAGCCGGCATGATTACAGCAATTTAAAGAAGCTGATTAGAAATAGCATAAATATTCTTTAACTTACTGAAAGCAGCCAAAGGCAACAATGTAAGACAAACAACAAAGACATCAGAATTCGGTGCCTTGCTGCTCTGCTCTGGGGAATGACATCTGCACCTTCTTCAAAGGCTTCGGCAGCAGGAATTTAACACCAGAAAATGTTTAAAGGTAGCTAGTTAAATTCAGAGTGAGTATTCAAAAAAATAAGGTGATAGAAAAGTGAAGAAACTCTGCATCCACCTTGGCCAAGGAGGAGCTTTGGTGGATTCCCAGGATGGACGATCTCCTCTGCAAACGCTTCAAAAGTTCTGTCCTACCAATGCAGAAGGGCAAGCGAGTAGTAAGACTGAGGAGATGACATTTCCAGTCAGATACGAAACTCAAGCATCACTGCAGCATGCCACGTGCTGCTGAGACTCCCCTGTGATACCTCTAGTTTTCACCAGACAAGAAGCGAACACGGCAGCCTCTGCAGAGGTGGTCAGAGGTAAAGGATGACACAAGTAGGTCTCCTATGCAATGTGGGAGATACAAAAGCTGTAATTGGTGCCAGACTTGGTTGATGTCTGGGCAAAGTATGTCACAGGACAGACTAAATCCAAGTTTTGCACAGGAAAATCACACCTCAGAAATACACCTCTCTGGAGGAGTCAGCAAGATATGGGTGTTGGACATTCCCTGGTCAGCTGGAAGGGTCTTTATCAAAGCTCACAAGCTGCCATAGGCTAGAGAGGCAGATCTCACTGGGATAAATCACAGAATGGTTCAGGCTGGAAGGAACCACAGAGGGTCATCCAGCCCAACCTCCCTCCTCAAGAAGAGTCCCCTGGAGCAGTCACTCAGGATTGTGTCCAGACAGGTTTTGAGTATCCCCAAAGGTGACTCCACAACCTCTCTGGGCAGCCTGTACCAGTGCTTGGTCACCCACACAGTAAACAGTGGCTGAGAGAAAGGGAAGAAGGTCACCCAGGGAGGCCACTGTGCTGACTGACAGATGTCTTGTAAAACATCTCATCCATGTACAGCAGGTGCCAAAGGGGGCAGCATGAGGAGACATTAGGAGAAGATCAGGGAACAGAACAAGGCACCATGTAAACCTCAGCTATAGTCCCACCATTTCAGTGAGGTGGAGGTCCAGGTCTGGCCACGCAGCCCCAGCTGGGACATGGCTTGAACAGGGGAGGGAGAGAGAAGTGTGAGAGGAGCAGCTGGAAGGACAGGGAGGCTTGTCAAAGATTCAAGATCTGGAACAGCATGAGGAGCATGAATAGAGCAGATGGTCTTGCATCACAGTAGACATGAGCTGCAAGTCTCAAACTGCTCCTCAGCCATCAAAGGCTGACCCATCACCTCCCTTGCCCCAGCACCCCTCTGCTCTCTCCACCAGTGTTTGGGAACCTGGTGCCTGGTCTTATCCCCACTGCGCTAACCTGGTCCCTGCCAGCCGTTCCCCTGGTGTGCTCCCAGAGCCCCTGGCTGAGGAGGTGAAGATGGAACCACTACAACAAGCCAAAGGGAGAGCAGCAGTGGGTGGTGAAGCTCCTTGCTGCAGGATGCCACCAATGCCAAGTAGATGCCTCATCCCAGGAAGTCCTTAGAAATATTCAGTGAAAGAAAAGTCCCTTGTTATCAGATATATGATGACATCTGGCCAGGTTTGCTGAGGGGATAAAGGAGCATTGGATGAGCAGTGGAGACAGGGACAGGCTTGAGGAACTATGGAGAGCTGCATGGGGACCCACCACCCGCTCTGCATGGCAGGAACTCACACCCCAAAAATATCTGAACTGTCAGCCTGTGTGCTCTGGGACATGGGAAGAAAATAGACAGACAAAAGGAGGAGTAGAGAGTGCCAGTGGCAAGAGCAATTATCTCACTGCTCTCTGGCAGGTGATGCCTGCATGCGGCAGGAAGGAAATGTTTGGCTGGAACATGATGTGGAGACACTGGGACTCCCTGTCACACAGAGCCTGTGGCAAAGGGTGTTGCTGGCAGCAAGATGTTTTCATCTGCATCAATGCATGTACCAAAAACAAGCCTGGAGGCAAAGTTGCATGTGGGCTGGGCAGTCCTGGGAGTGCAGCAAATGCTGAACTGATCCAATCCAAACTGCTGGGGAGAATTCCTGCTGGAAAAACTGGGCTCCTTCCCAAGAGGGAGGAGATGGCACTGGGTTGGGAAGTCCCAGTGAGGTCCCTTGTCTTGCTGCTGCTGGGATGCGTCCCACTCTTGTGATCCTCAGAGTCAGGAGAGACAATTTCCCAAATGTATTTTCCTGTCTATGGGAGGAGGAATCAAAAAAGAGTTTGGATTGGAAGAGACTTTAACGCTTATCTCATTCTACTACCTGTCCATGGATGGGCAGAGACACCTTCCACTAGACCAGGTTGCTCCAAGCCCTGTCCAACTTGGCCTTGGACACTTCCAGGGATGGGGCAGATACAGCTTCTCTGGTAACTGCCACCACCAAGTACTCCAGCTCCAGTGGGGGCTTTCTCTGTGTGGTGCTCAGGGGCAGAAACCACATGCAACTCTCCAGGTTTGTGTCCAGAGGATTCAGACACCCATGTTCCACAGCAACCTGTAGCATCATGGGGCTGAGAGGTCCCAAATCTGAGTCTTGTGCTGCCTTGACTCAGCCTGAGCTGGTGGACAAGCTCCTGGGGCTCCTGGGGAGCAGAGGGTTGCAGCCACAGCAGAGCCAGAGGAAGGGAGGTGATGGATGGTGGGCGTTGGTGCAGCCTTCCAAACTCCAACCTCACTCTCTGTGGCCTTTCTCCATGCAGCCCCTCATGCCCACGGGATTCCCAGCCTCACTGCACTCATTGCCTCACCTCTACCTGGCCTGATCTTGCCCCATGGGAGGCACCCAGGAGGGAAAATCCTGTGGGGTCTGAAACTGCCCTCACTTAGGTGAGCTCAGCCTGGGATCACTCCTGGCTGCTCACCATTCACAGCCCCTGGGAGGACAACAGTGGGGGACCACACACCCCAGAACCCTGGATTCTCCTCAGACAGCTACACCAAGATCTGGGTTAAGTTTCTCTTTATTTGGCAAAAAGCAGGGACTGTGTGCTGGAGGAGCAGGGGTTGTGTCAAAGCCTTGACCACGGAGCTTGGAAGAGGGCTGGTGGAGCAGCAGCCTGGAGCTTCAAAGTGTGGGTCTTGCATTGCTTGGGAGGAGCATCCACGAATTAAAAGAGTTCTTGGTGGTCCTTGCTGGGGCACCAAGAAGGATAGTTTCCAGAGGAGGACATTGCAAACACCATGTCGCACTGCAGCAACTCACCTATGGTCCATCAAGTCTGCATTCGTCTGTGAAAGTAAAGAGAAAGCCTGAATCAGGTGCTGTGGTCTGACTAGCCCCATTTAGCACCCAAAATAGACAACCCAGAATGAACTTGAGCAAGGAGAAAGCCACAGTGTGCCAAGCCAGAGCACCTCTGGCTGCCAGCACTCTCTCATGCCAGCTCAGACCACAAAGTGGTGGCAGTGATAGGCTGAGTGATCCCAGCCTGCACGTCCCTGTATCGCCCCTGGGCAGTGCTCACCCTGCCTGGGTAGTATCCAGATCATCTCGTCAGTGAAACCCTCCATCTTGGCAAACGTCTTGAACAGCTCTACGATTCTGGGTCTCACCCACCGGGTTCTGCCTAAAGACAAAGACATGAGTTAGCTCCAGGCTGTGCCTGTCCCTACATCTCCTGGACATCTGGTGAGCACAAGGATGGGATGGATGGCAGTCCCTGGAAGAAGGATGGAGGCACTGGTAGAAGTCCTAGAGAGACACATGAGACACCCCACCCAGGGGACAAGACAAGGCAGAGGTTCGTGTCCCTGCTGTTTCTGCCCCACCTTGCAGCAGGACCCCCACTCTTCACTCTGTTTCACCACATGACTTACCCAAGGCCACAGACTCCCAGCACAGTGCAGGAGCCTGAGCCCCAGCCTCCCCTGCACCCCAAATCACTATCTCTTCCCTGTCACATGGGGGGCACATAGCAGCCCCAGCCCTGCTCCTGTGCCCCACCCAGGGCAGAAGTGAGGAGGGGGTCTGTCCCCTGACTCCTGGCCTCTCAGGACCCTGGAGGCACCCTGACACCTCTGAGTGGTTCACCCCCATTGCAGCACCGCTGGTTACGCACTGTAGAGTCTCAGCATGTGCAAGATCTTCCCCTCCTTCTCTCTGGTGGCAAAGATAATCATGTAGGTCCTGCCATCGGTATCCACCAGCTGTACTGTCTTATTGCCTCTGTCTGCAAAAGGACATGGAGAAAAATTAATTACCTCCTCCTGGAAACCCTCACGCTGCAAAGGGGCTGTAAGAGTGTAAAGCCCACCCAGTCTGTCTTTCCTCGGTGGCTCTCCGTCCTGGTTTTCCCTCTTGCTAAGGCTCCTCTGAAAGCCTGGGGGAGCCCACAGACTGCAGCAGAGCAGAGGGATGGGGAGGTGAGGGCAGGAAGGGCCAAGGATGGTCACTGTGGGCTGCTGACCAGTGTCAGACTGACCCTTGGGGTGGGGATGGTGGGAAACAACCCCTTGCTTCATCCTCTGGGAACATTCACCCACAGCCCCTTGGCAGAATGAACCTGCTTTTCCCCAGGGTTTAAGCTGGGTGTGAATGTGTTTATCCCAGAGGGAGGATTTGGGGAGTTCTGCCATCTGCTGTGTCACCAGCCCTGACACGGACTGGCCCTCGGGTGCAGCTGGCACCTGGACACAGAGGGATGTCCCACCCAGGACCCAGGAGGGGCAGGCAGTCCTAAGGGCCATGTCACCAGGAACAACCAACTGCTTCAGACAGGGATGATGGGACATGCCTCCCCGCTGCCCCAAGAGCCAGGCTCCCCCCACTCACCAGAGCTGTAGTATTCACCCGAGATTGCTGTTGGCTTGTAGATCGACTCAAACTTCATACATCTCCCTGGGCTGCAAAACAGCGAAGGATGCTCCAGCACACAGTGAAGTGACCCCTTTTCCCTCCCCTGCTCTGGAGTAGCTACCCCAAAAGTGGGACTCACTGTTCAGGGATGAGATGGTGTGGAGGGGGGGGTAGGAGGGGATAGATACCACACCTCTTGCAGCAATGGGCACCTGGGCTGGCAGGGGACAGTGCTGGTACCTGGGGATCATCCATGCCCTTGCTCGTGCTCTGAGCCTCTGGGATAAGGCTGGTACTGCCAGGAAGGTTTCAACCATAGGGTCCCTTATTACCCTGCTGCATCCCTCAGCAGTAGAGCATCCCACCCTCTGAGGGGTCCTGGCTGGCGCTGCCCCGAGTCTGCCCTGAAGAAGGGGTGCCCACAGCTGTCCTGAGCCCCTGGTGGTCCTGCCTCACCCCCTGGCCAGGTCTTTGGTGGGTGCACTCAGGTGGGGACTCACCAATGAAGGTCAAGAGAGGAGGTTGGTCAGTGAAACCTGTGAAGTAAAGCATGTGGGACTTACGTGGGAATTGCAAAGGAGATGTTCAGGTCCTTCCCCAGGACCTTGATGCTGGCCATCGCCATCTTCAGCTGGTCCTTCCTTTGGAGGTAGCTCTCGGAGTCGGAGGCCATAGCAGTGATGTACCATTTCCCTGCAATCTAGTAGCAAGAGCAGACTGTGAGTCTGTGGGAGCAATTGGGAGTGTCACCTCCTCAGGGACCAAGGCAGGACACCCTCAGTCCATGGGACACCCACATCCCTTCCAGGCAACAAAGTCTCCTTAGGGACACTTATGCTGGAGCTGGGTGACCACCCTCACCTGGGTCTGACAGCAAAGCAATGGTGGCTGCAGTGTCCCCAGCTGTTCCCAGTACCAAAACATCTCTACAGTCATCCCTGACTGCTGGTGACCAGAGTCCACCCTCCCACCTTCTCTTCCCGGGATGCTGCAGATCACCTTGTTCGTGTCCAACTCCCCAGCCCCGAGGTCCTCGGCCTCCACGTGCAGCAAGCAGAGCAGGGCCAGGCCCAGGCTCAGCCCCACGGTCTTCATGTCACCTTAGCTCCTCTGGCTTCACCAGTGGGATGGGGAGTGGTGCTGGGGCAGCCGCATTTATATCTCAGTGCTTCCCCCCCCTCCACACACCCCGCTGCTGCCTGCGGAGCCGCGGCAGCACCGCTGGGATTGGCTTGGGCAAGGGGGGGGGTTCGGAGGGGCAGGAGTCAGCCAGGGGTGAACAAAGCCCCGGGGCAGGGGGAAGTGCCTGCCAGCCCCAAAACAGGGTTACAGGAACTGTTGCACCACTGCTGAAATTTGGGATTTTCCCCATTTCTTTAGTGGATTGTGAAAGAACAAAGCGAGCTGTTGTTTTCCAACCGGCTGCCGGAAGGCTGCTGGGAGGAGCAGGAGGTTCTTCCCGGCACAGGCTCCAGGGGCAGCACCGTCACCCACCAAGGGGCACGGTGACCCGTCCTTCTGGCCAGGCTGGAACCTGCCCCGAGGCAGCCGCTGGGATCCTGCCAAACCCAGCCATGCACATGCTGCTGGCACAACCTGACCCGTGGTGCCTGCACGGGCCCCCCCTGCTCTGCGGTGCTCAGGGCCTGCAAGGCAGGGTGCACCCGGAGCAGGGCAGGCAGAAGAAGGGATTCACATCACTGTGAGACTGTGTCCCTCCTTCTTACAGTGTGATGTCCCCTGTGCCCCTGCTCTGTCAGGCTCCTGGGTCACAGCCCCACACCTGCCTGGGCATTGAAGGACCCCCACCCTGAGGCAGGGAGAGAGTGGGAGGGACCAGGGGCTGCCTCCACTCCGCAGGAGGCGAAGTGGGATGAAAAGTGCCCGTGGGGCTCATGGCAACATGGTCCTACTTTGGTCAGTGGGCAGATGGGGGACCAAGCGGGGTGGCAGACAGGCATGGGTGTTCCAGGCCTGCTATGGACAGCCACGGTGCAGCTTCACTCCCAGCTAGGTGTCCTGGGAGGGGACTGAGCAGGGAATGGGGTGTCCTGTGTGTGTCCCTGCAGGCAGTGCTGGACAGCCTGACTGCTTAACACTGCCTGCCCGGAGCTGCTGCCCCCACAGCCAAGCTGTGCCAGCCCCTGGTCACCCCAGCTCCATTCTCTCCTGCCCTGGCAGCTGCACCTTCCCCATCCTCTGCTCCCCATCCTCCCCATGCTGGGCACACCAAACATCACAGCACAGGAGCCCCCCAACACCCCTGGGGGGCTGACAGGAAGGGTCAGCTCCAGGACCACTGCGCTCAGGGTGCCTGGGGACCCTGGCAGCACCCCTGCTCCCACCAACAAAACACTGAGCTCTGGGACAGCTTCTGCATCTATTTATTTAGGAGGTTGAGGGGTGATCCTGGTGTGGGGCAGGGGGTCCGGCAGAGTTCAGCTGGGAAGGATGGGAAGGGGGCACCACAGAGTGGGGATCAGAGGCCAGTGTCCACCGAGTCTGGAGGACACAACGGCCCTTTAGCTGCAGAGACAGGACAGACAGACGAGTGGTTAGAGCAGGGCAAAGCTGAGGTGACGAAGAGCCCCAAGGCAGGTGGGGGGCCCCTGGTGGGCCACGAGTGCCTGTTCAGCCCTGGCCATGCTGGGAGTGAGTCACGGCTTCCCCTGGACACACTCACCTGATGGCCTTGGTGCACTGGTCTGTTGGAAAGCAAAGAGAGGAGTGAGTGTGCCACGGGCAGCACCCTGAGCCCCTACACAGTGTCCCCGTACAGAGGGGCTACATGTGCCACCCCGTGCCTTCAGGGCACTCACCCGACTTGGGCAGGATGGCCAGCATGTCCTTGGTCAGGCCCATGGTGGGGACGAGCTCCGTGAACTTCTGCAGAAGCTGGGGACTCACATCCTGCTCCCTTGCTGCAGCCAGACATGCAAAGTGGGGGCTGGTGAGTGCGGGGGGTCCTGGCAGCCAGCCCCACCCCAGGGGTCCAGCTACCACAGGGCAGTGCTTGGCCCTAGGGAAGGGCTCAGGTGAAGCCATGAAGGTGCAGAGTGGACACCAGGCAACCCACAGTGCCCTGGGCTGGGAGCAAAGGGATACAAGCGCCTTGGGATGAGTGACCCATCTGCCTGGGTTGCTATGGGGTGGCTGTCAGGGTTGGGGGTCCACAGCTGGGCTGGCACACTGCAAGGAGGTCTGGTTGAACCCACAACCAACCAGAGATATCTTTGGTGAAAGGTTTCGTTCACCCCAAAATTAATTCCGTGAGTACTGGACATTGGGTACTGGTAGTGGCCCTGGGTGGTGGTGGAGAGCCCAGCCCCCGCTCCCCATTGGTGCCCCCATCCCTTCTCAGAGCTGTGGGTGCCCGTCCCCGCTCCGACACCCACTGAGGAGCTGCAGCGCAGTGCTGGGCTCTGTCTCGCTGTGATGGGCCTCGTGCAGGATGGCATAGTGGATGTAGTCTGTCTCCATCACGAGCAGGTCCCTCTTCTCTTGTGCTGCTAAAGGACACCAGAGGTGCCCAGTCGGGCAATGTGGTACAATCTGAGCCCTCCTGGGCCCCACTGCTTGAGCCCCAAAATTGCCTGAGGGGAGTATGAGGAGGGACCCCCTGCGTGATGTGATGGAGCTGAGTGCCCACCCTCAGCATGACCCCTCGCTGAGCAGAGAAGGCAAAGCAGGCAAGCCCACCTCCCGCTGCTCCCCAGGCATGGGGGGCTGGGGATGCCCACCCTCTGTTTCAGGGTTCCCGTGGCTCCGACCCACCTGACCACACGTACCCATGTAGTGCCCCGCCTGCCCGCTCTGCTGGAAGAGCAGCTCAAACTTTTGGCATTTGTCCAGCCTGGAAAAGGAACGTGGAAATGACAAACATGGCTGGATGTCACAAGGGAGGGCAGTGGGGTGGTGGGTGCAGGGGGGAGCCCAGCCTGCCTGGGGGATGTGCTGGGGTGCAGGCAGGACTGGGCACCCTGGGGCAGTGGGTCTGGGGGAGCTGCCGTGGTGGGGAGGGAAGTCCCTGGCCCACGGGGGACGCGGTGAGCAGGACAGGCACTCACAGGGGCCAGACCAACTTCATGGCCAGATCCCCCTCTGGTGTAAAGCTGATGGTGGTGATGGACGACTTCATCCCGTCCTTCATGTTCAGGAAGATGGAGCAGTTGGAAGCCATGGCTGTGACAAACCACATCCCTGCAAACTGCAGCACGACATCACCAGTGGGGTTTGGGAAAGCTGTGGGGACCTGCTACCTTCCAGGGGGACCTGTCCCCCACCATGGGGAACCTGGCAGCCTGTTGTAGGAATCTGCCAACCTGCAGTGGGGAACCTGCTACCCTCTGTGGCGACCAGCCAGACAAACATGGCAGCCTGCTACCTTCATGCAGAACACCCTGCCCTGCCCCATGCCAGGAGGGCAGGAGAGGCATCTGGTCCACGTTCCCTGGGGAAGTGCCACACGCTTGGGAACATCACAGCCTCAGGTGCTGGTGTCCCTTCAGTGGGGCCACTGCTGGCGCTGGACACAGCAGCCCTAACTAACCCATTTTTTCACAGGCTCTGCTGGAAACTACCCTGGTGTCAGCTCAGGGATGAGACCAGGGGGCCCCTGGGGGTGCAGCAAAGGCCCCCTGCCCCACCCAGCCCCTCCAGCCCGGGCAGGACATGCCGGGCAGCACCCTGTGCCGTTACCTTCTCAGTGTCGAAGTCTGGCTGCACGGGGACCTCGGCCCCTGCCCACAGCAGGCAGAGCAGGGCCAGTGCCAGGCTGGGCAGTGCCACCGTCATCCTCGCTCTGGGGGTGGATGTGGGCAGGAGAGGCTGCACCCACCTTTATAGCCCCCACTGCTGGCAGCACCCCTGCCCGCCCTACCTTTATGCAACAGGTTACACAAGAGCAGGGATAACCTGTACCCGGGTTAGGTGACAGTGCTGGCCCTGTCCCCCCCAGTTGTCCGGTCCTGAATGAATGCAGCCTTGTGTGAAACCCTGCCCAGAGCACGCCAGGACTGGGTGCTGCCCCATGCTCACTGCTGTGTCTGGGGAGGGGGGAGCTGAGTTGCCCCCGGGGCCCCCCTCACAGCTGTTCCTGCTGGTCCCAGGGTCTGGCAGTGATGGGACGGATCCCACCTCAGGATCCTCAGTGCCAGAAGATGGTTGTGCTGGTGGGTTTAGCCCAGGTTGAGCCACAGCCTGGTGCCCCCAGAAGGGGTGGTGACTTCCCAGGCTGGTGGCAGCAGGCTCAGACCCCACTGCTGGAGAGGGTCCAGGCTCATGGGATGGAGCCCAGGGGGTGGCAAGAGCTGAGCCACATCCAGCCCTCACAGATGTCCTTCTGCTTCATATCCACCCTTCCCCAAATTTTTTGAGACCTCCCTATGATTGCCTGTCATCCCATTCCCACACTGCCAGCCTGCTCTCCAGCAGGGAACCAAGGCAGGGAAGCTGGGGGAGCCCAGGATGCCCAAGGGGGCAGAGGGGAGCAGATCCCCTCAGTAGGTCCCAGCCTCAGGGACCCCTTTTCTTGGGACAGGGCATATTTGGTGGTCAGGCAGCACCGTGGTGTGGGGCTGCTAGTGCACAGAGGGTCCCAGCCCGGCGGCCCCATGGCCAAAAGCTGGGGTCAGCCCTGACACCAAGCCCTAGCCCCACCAGCCATACTTCCCCCTCCCCATTGCCCCACTGGGGCTTCCCCACAACAACCCAGCAGACGAGGGTTGGTTTGATGTGGGCTTTAATGGGGATGGGGGTACAGGTGTGGGGTGTGAAGCCAGGGAGCGAAGGCTGCTGCAGTGCTGTGGGGTGCACTGGGGTTGGGATGGGACACGGTGGTCACCAGCTCGCGGCACTGTCAGGGCTCTGGCCGGCAGCAGCTGGTGGGATCACCTGGAAGAGATGGGGGGTGAGCACAGCTGAGCTGTGGGACACAGGGTGACACATGCAGGGACATTGGCCCGGCCAGCCCCACACTGAGTGGGTGAGCACACACCACCCAGGGCCTGAGGCACCCCACAGGGCCAGGATGGGGAATCCCTCGTAGGGGTAAGGAGAGGAACAGCCTGGGGAAGGGCTGGCGAGGGCTCTGTGGGATGCAGTGGCTCTGAACACCCTCGACCCTCCCACAGGGCTGGTCTGACCCCCAGTGAAGGCAGGACTTACCTAGGCAGCATCTGTCATGCATTTGTCTGTGAGGGGAAGAAAAGGGGAGATCATCCTCAGCCCCCCCCGAGGGACCATGTATGGGGGCACCCCATGGCTGGCCCCACACTGAGGCAGGAACAAGCCAAGAGGTTCTCCTCCCTCTCAGCCCCCTTGGGGTATCTCACCCCCTGCTCCCCACAGTCCTCCCTGTGCCTCCAGCCTCACCTGTCTGGGGCAGGATGAGGATCTCATCATCCGTCAGGCCCTGCTTCCTGGAAAACTGGGTGAACCTCTCCAGGCGCTCAGGACTCAGCTCCTTGGTCCGGCCTGCAGCCAAGAGCAGGGTGAGGGGCAGCCCCACCGCACCTGCCAGCACGGGGGCACGGGCAGCCCAGCAAGGGGGTCCCGACCCAGCCATTATCCCAGAGGTCATCCCAGCTTGGGAGACGGTGCTGCCCTTCTCCCATGGGAGAGATAGACATTCCAGGAGGTCCTGGGGGGTGTACAGCATGGGGGCGCAGGGCAGACGTACTGTAGAGCAGCACCATGGTGGAGGGGCCGGTGCTCTTGGAGATCTGGGTGGCCACCAAGGCGTACTCCTCGTAGTTGGTCTCCACCACACGGATGTCGTGCTTGCTGCCCCAGCCTGTGGGGGACAGGGGAGCACGGCTCAGTCCCAGGCTCCAAATCAGCCCCAAGGCAGGAGCAGGGACAGTGACAGCAGGGCTGCCCCATGGTCAGGGGGCACTCACGGGTGCTGGTGTAGCTGAACCGCCCCGGCTGCTCCATCTTGGTGTAAAGGCTGTTCCTCGTCACACACTGGTCACCCCTGTGATCACACACAGCATGAGCACAGCACAAGGATGTCAGAGTAGTGGGGCGATGCACCAGTGTCCCCACCCTCGCACCCCCTCCCCACTCAGCCCCTCCCCATGCCCATACTTGGGGTAGGTGGAGGTGACTTCCAGGTTTCCATCTGCGGTGGTGGAGATGATAGTGGTGCACATCTTCATCAGGTGCCTCTTCTCCTTGAACCAGTTAGAGTTGGAGGCCAGGCCGATGCTGTACCATCTCCCTGTGAGCTGCACACAACCTCTGCTCAGCCCTAGCTGGGTGCAGACCCTGTCTTGCCTCTCAGCCCCCCACCAGCCCCAGCCCAGGCCACGTCTCTCTTCCCTAGCAGCCCATTCCCCACAGCAGGATGGTGTCCTGGGGTCCTCATCCCCAGGGAGCTGCTACAGCTCTTGGTAACCACAAAACCCAGGGGCCAGGAAATCCCTGTTTCATGACGTGCCCTTCACTGCCCAGCACTTGGGTGTTTCCTTCCTCTTTGCTCCAAGACTGGGGAAGGTGACAGGACTGTCTGGGTCTGAGATGCCATTTCTGTCCATCTGGGGGCTCAAGGAGGGGTCAGGACCCTGGGTCCAGCATGGCTCATCCTAGCCCAGTCCCTGGGGCCAGCAGCATGGTGCCCTCCAAAGGGAACTGCCAGCCTCGGAGAGGGGCTGTGCTGGGATCACCCTTGCAGGACGTCCCAGACGTCCATCCTTGCAGGAAGTGCCTCCATCTCCATCACCCCCCTTGGGGGGCCGTGGCCCCCCAGGACTCTTCCAGAGGCAGAGCGGTGCGTGGGACACCTCAGCAGAGCAGCCCTTGTTTTTTTGGGGCCCTTGGCTGGGGTCAAGGAGTAGTTTCCATGGCCCATCTCCATGCTGACTCGCAGACTGAGATTGCTTTTCTCAGTCTTCTCTGTAAGACTCTTGAATAATCACACCCATTCTACAGCACAGCAGCAGTTCAGACCCACACCTAACCCATAGTTCTGCCCCACAGGCTGGAGCTGGGATGCTGGATCCCCTCCAGAGCCACCAAAACCAGGTACTGGGAGGTCCTCAGGCTGGGGGGCTGTGTGGGCACCAGTGCCCCACCCTCCCAGTGCCAGCCTGGCCCCACACCCATCTGCACCACCCTCTCCACACATTTTCAGGGTAAGTATCCCCCAAAACACCCCAAACCTCCATGCAGGTGATGCCTGCTGGGATGAGTCACCTTGTCCTGCTGGAAGTCGGCTTGGATGGGAATGCTGTCCTGGGCATGCAGTGCCCCAAGCAGGGCCAGCCCCAGGATGCTGAGCAGCGTGGCCTGCATGGTCGAGCCGAGCCGAGCTGAGCTGAGCCAAGCGAGAGCTGGAGGCAGAGCGCTGCAGTGCTGGAGAGTCTGTCGAGCCCCTATTTATGGACAGGCGGTGCGGGGGCCCCCGAGGGGCCAACCCTGCCTCCCCCCCGTGCCGTTATGCAAGCTGGAGCAGGGCTGAGCGCCGAAGCCAAAGGGCAGCCAGGGGATCCTGAGAATGCAGCCCTCCTGTTGATATGATGTGTTTGCTCCGGGGAGCCAAACTCCTCCGCAATGAAAACAGCCCGCGGCCGGAGCGGCGGCCGTCCCTGGCCCCAGCGCCGCGGGGCCGGGGCAGGCAGCAGGGGTTGCCCACGGGCAGGGGCCAGGGCTGCCCCATCTGCACAGGGTAGCCTCACCTGGACCCAGAAAGGGGCTCCAGTGAAGTGGAGGGAATGTCCAGCGCCTGCCAGGTCCCAACCCGACCCATGGGACTTGGGGACACCTGCGTGTACTCCTGTAGGACCCCCTGCTTTGCCCTGACTCAAGTCCCTGCATCACCCAAGGAAGCATCTCGGCTGGCCCCAGGACCCTTGGGGTGTGTCCCACCAAGGTGCAGCTCCGGTTCATCCCACTGGCAAGCTGGGGAGCCCCGATGCTCAGCTCCCCGGGGACCAGAACACAGCCAGATGGACCCCAGAGTTTCCCCCCCCCCCCGCCCCACCACTCTGCACCCTTTGCCAAGAGGGGCTGGAGATGCTCTCCTCCTTGGTTTGGGGTCACCAGCAGGCGCTGAGATGTCCCCCCTTAATCTGGGCCCCCCCCCTGCAGAGTGAGGGCAGGGGATGTATGCTGGGTGCCAGCAGCAGCACCCGTGAGTATGGCAGGGTTTGGGCAGGGCTGGCCATGCCGGGCAGAACCCCAGCCCCGCATGGCCCTGCCAAGGTGCTTTACGTAAGGAGAATGTTTTCACAACAGCTGTTTTTCCCCTGGCAGGCCCCCCTGTACATTCCCTTCCCCACGCCCCACTGTGAGGCCGCCCTGCCCTGTGCACCCCCGCGCCTGCCCAGCCCCGTGGATTTATGAAAACAAAACAAAAGCTGAGCCAGGCAGGACTGAGCATCACAAGAGCCCGGCTGGGGCCCCGCACGCTGGGCTAGGACTCAGCCTCCCCAGGGGGCTCTCTCCATCGGGCACAGAGGTAGGGAGCACCCAGGCGTGTCACTGTCACCCAGCACTGCAGCAGGAACACAAAGTCCCCCCTGCTGCCTGGGTACCCCCAGCTCCCTGCCCAGGTGGCAGCAGGGGGTGCCTGATGGATACTTGGGTGGTGCCCACTCTCCCAGCTCTCCTGGGTGGGGCAAAGCTGGGAACCAGCCCAAGGACCTGGGTGGCAATGCTGGGTGCAAGCTCTGGGGCATGGGGGCAGGTGGGGCCATGTGGGGGCAAAGGGGGCACCGACAGCAGCATGGCACAGGATAAGCAGAGCTGGGGGGCAGGATGGGGTATCCAGGCTGTGGGTCCCCACAGTGGCTGGACACAGACTCTTGGACACAACCTGGGTGTTAGCCCCCACCACAGATGGGCTGAGATGGGACAGTGGGCACAGGGTTGTGTGGGCTCCTTGGGGACCAGCCCAGCTCCCCAGGGCTCTCCCCTTGCTTCCCATCACCCTGCCACAGTGCAGCCACCCCAGGGTGCAGGTGGGCACAGGGCAGAAAGTGAGCTGGATCCACCACACCAGGCTCTGCCAGCCTCAGGTGGTGGCCTGGGGGGTCTAAGAGCATGGCTGGACACCACTAACCTCCACGTGGGTGGTGGGAACAGGGCTGGCTCTGGGCACATCACGTGGTGTCCCTTACATAAGTCCCTGATAAACAACATGTGTTACCAGTTCCCGCTCCAATTGCAAAACACCAGTGCTGGGGGCAGAGGGCTGCTGCCTGTCCCAGGGGCTGTGGAGGGCTGGGACCCCCCACCCGCCTGCTGTGGGGGGTGCTCCCTGTCCCCTCCCGAAGCCAATGGCAATGGGCACCACTCGCCTGGCACATGTGGCAGGATGGCCTCAGCCAGGCTCCACACACAGGGAAGAGGGGTCCCACAAGGGGCTGCAGCATTAACCCTGTGGCTCTCCCCTAATTGCACCCCTGGTCCAAGCCCCACCAGCCCCCCCCAGCCTGGCTTTCCAAGGGGTGCTAGCTCAGTGGGCAGGGGTTCCCCTCAGGGAATGTGCTCCACAGGGCTGGGGCAGGGGAATGGGCTCTTTCCCTGCCCTGGAGGCTCTGGAGATGGGAAGCAGAAATGCTGCGGGGCTGAGATTTCCTCCTCTGGGGTCCCTGAGGGATATCCCAGCTGGCTGGGGGAAAAGGCAGATGCTGTGCT